ATCTGCAATTGTATTTGATGCCTAGAGTAAGAATGCAGTTCACAAATGCCCTATTGGGCCAGGAACTCTCATTCCTAAGATAAGATGTCCTTGAATTAACTTCTTGAATTTACTACTCTCTACTCTCCCTGAGTATCTCACCCACCTCTCTGGTGTCAATTTTGGATCTTTGTCAAAGGTCTGTCTCTGATTGCCTTTCCAGCTGTAGGCAAGTAATTCCTGGCTTTATACAGAACATTTCCTCAAAAATGCCCTGCTAGCACCTGAAACTCAGAGCACTGGAGAGAAAATTCAAAATCTTCTGAAGGCATTTCCACCCTCCTCCTAACTGGGGAGTCATCTATTTAATACTGATTCTTGAAATTCAGAACCCTAGTGCTATAAAACCTATTAATAGTAGAGTCCAGATGTCTTTTGTATTTATTCCTTTGTATTTTCAGTGGTTGTCTATTCTACTTTTTTCAATACATCTAACCTAAAATCTTGCAGCTGACTCTACCTCTTATCTCTCCCACCCATTCTCTCCACTGCTATCAGAATTATTTTTCTGAACTATAGATTGGGCCCTGGCTGGGTGGCTCAGTTAGTTGAAGCATCATTCCCTACACCAGAAGGTCCAATTCCTGGTCAACGCACATACCTGGGTTCAATTCCTGGTCAAGGCACATACCTGGGTTGCAGGTTCGATCCCCTGTCGGGGTGCATGTGGGAGGCAAGCAATTGATGTTTCTCTCTCCCTAAAATCAGTGACCATATCCTCAGGTGAGGATAAAAATATATGTATATGTATATTAGATTATATCACTTGTACCCAGAAACCTTGTTGACTTTTTATTATCTGTATCAGTTTTGCACAGTAGCAATGTACTGTTAAGTACATATGTAATTTTCAATTTTCTAGATCCCATATTAAGAAAATAGTTAACTTCAATTTATTTAACCCAATATATCTAAAGTATTTTAACATGTTCAGTATGAAACTATTACTAAGACATTTTCTTTTTCTGGGGGGAGGGGTACTATGTTTTTGGAATCCAGAGTGTATTTTACATTTAACAGTACATCTCAATCCAAACTAACCACATTTCAAACTCAGTAGCCACATGTGACTAGTGGCTCTCATATTGGATAGCACAGGTCAGTAGCATAAAGCTTAAAGTTCTTGGTCTGCAGTTTTGGGCCCTCCATAATTTCAGCTACTGCTCTCCATATTTCAGCGTCTCCCCGCTCACCCAGACCCCAGCTACACCTAATTGTCTTTTGTTCTTTTCCTTTCATTACTCTCCTCTGTCTGTGGAAATCTAACGTACCTTCCAGGGCCTCATCTGAAAAGCTACTTCCTGAGAGAATCACGTCTTGCTCCATTCCCGCAGTGCCCATAAGCATTAACCACTTGCTCTTGACCCTTCTGTAGCAGCACTAATGGGAGCCATTTGTGAGTGAGTAGTCTGGCTGCCAACTAGAAGGTGAGCTGCTCAGAGGTAGGATATGTCTCCCTCAGCTCTGTGTTGCCTCGTGTTCTCAGTAAACCTCCATTTGCTCTTAGGGGTATTTTTTACCTTTGCTGTTTGATATCTTTGGTCTCTTAAGCAATCTCTCATTTAATGGTGGTTTTCTTTACCTCTAAATGAAATTTCCCTTTTTATCTGGATCAGTTCCACTGTTTAAAAGGTATTCTCTTTGTGGATTGAAGCTTTTGCTTATGCAAAAGGAGAAATATTCATTTCCTTGTAGAAATAATTGCCTAATATGAATTAAAGTAGATTTCAAATGGGTATGTGAAAAGTTATTCTGGTTTTAGCCTGATTCTAGTCCCACATATAACTCTTCGTGTTATATAACTTGTCCTTTTTAAATAAATTATATATGTATCCTCAGGCTTCCCCAGACACGCAGAGCTTTACTGAAAAGTTTATCTGCTTTTTGACTCTCCTTTTCCCCTAAAGAGATTTAGCCAAAGGAGACTTGCCTGAGTTCTTTTTCCCATATAAAAACAAACAGGTGTCTGAAAGGTTGCACTCTATTCTGGGAGAAATCTGATTATGTTGAAGGGCTGTGTCAGGTCAAACTCTATAACCTGCTGACAGATTATTTAGTGAGTGCCAGGATCAACCCTCAACACTATCTCAGATTTTAATAGTTTTCTTGTGAAGGGCATCTGTAGATAAACCAGTTTGTGTTTGAAGTTAATTGTGGCTCTTAGATCAGAGATTGGTTGAGAATAAATTCTATCCTTGAGCAGGCAGTATGAAAAGAATGAATGATTCATCAGATGGAGTTGCAAGGATTATAATTGCATTCTGTGCTTTAACACAAATTGTAGCATTTAAAACCTTGGTGAAATCTTTCCCCTAGTGATATAAGAATTCTGCAAAGAAGTATCTATTAAATAAACTACCTTAAATTCTCTTAAGAATTTCTACCCAGTTGGGTCAAAAATGAAAAAAAGTGATACTTCTTCATGGTAGGAGTAGACCTGTCATCCTTGATGCTTCTGTTTCCCCCACCACTGCTGCCCCTAACGCCTGCCCGATCCAGTTCACCTGTAAGTCCTGTGGTTACACCAGATCCCACATCCCTGCCCTCTTAGCTGCACTGCTGCTATTTCACGACTGAGCATCTGGGACTCCTGACTCATCCCTTCTTTCTACTTTTGCTCTCTAGAGCAGGCAAAAGGATCTTTTTTCTTATTATCATTAAACTTTGTGTAATGGAAATTTCCAAATATATGTGAAAGTAGAGAGATAAGTATACCTGTCTCAACTTCATCTGTCCCCTCATGGCCATCTTGTTTCATCTATTCCTCCATCGCTTAACCCCCTACCCCCACCCCTATTATTTTGAAACAAATCCCAGACATCTGATCTAATCAACTGATGTGGAATTGTCCCAGAGTGAAATTTTGCTTATTGGTTGGCCACATACGGTGGGGAAGTTGCTGCCCCAATAGTAATGTTATTTGTTACCCACTTTACTGTCCTCCAGTTCTATTTTCCTCTTTTTTTCCCCCTCAGGATGTGTTTCATTTCTGTTTGATAAATGCCCTCATCAGAAAAATACTTTCATGTGTTCTTTTCACATTAAACCAGTTTTTCAGGGATTCTTATACAGGCACTCTCCTACTTTTGTACCAAATATGTTCTTGAAAATGTGTGTCAGAGTTGAATGTATAAAAGATGTAAGTGTATGTGGGGAGTATGTTTTATGCTCAGAAATCCTTAAAAGTTATAAAATGCTTTCTTTTAAAAAATTTTATTTATTTATTTATTTATTTATTTATTTATTTATTTATTTTTAGTGAAAGAGAGGGAGAGAAACATCTATGTGTGGTTGCTCCCACATACTGCCTACTGGGGACCTGGCTCATAACCCAGGCTTGTGCCTTGACTGGGATTCAAACCAGTGACCCTTTGGTTTGCAGGCTGGTGCTCAATCCACTGAACCATACCAACCAGGGCACAAGTTATAAAATTCTTACGTAATATTTTCATTATAAAAATCAGTACATGCTCACTATAAAAATAAAATTCAAGTAATATAGAACAGTATGAAGTAAAAACTAAAATCTCCCCATTTATTCATTGATTGCTTTTAGCCCCTTATCTCCAGAACAACTACTGTTAATATTTCTTTCTTTAAAAAAAGATTTTATTTATTAGAGAGAGGGGAAAGGAAGGAGAAAGAGAGAGAGAGAGAGAGGGGACCATCGATGTGCAAGACAAACATCGTATCAATTGCCTCTCACATGCCCCCAGCCCACCTGCAACCCATTGACATGTGCCCTGACTGTGAATCAAATGGGCAACCTTCTGGTTTGCAGGGTGGCGCTCAGTCCACTGAGCCACACCAGCCAGGGCTAATATTATTATAGATCCCTCCGGGAAGATTTATATATGGTCTTTCAAAACTTTAATTTTATATCTGACATTTTTTCTCTCAGTTTTTTAAAATTTAGTACACAGATTATTTTAATGTTGAACAACTAGCTTGGTGTTTTTGCAAAGTGGTTGACTAGCAGATGGTATGGTGATGACCTTGACATCGTATTGACTTCTTTGAACACTAGTTTCCTCTTGATAAAGGAGTCTTACACACACTGAACTCATCAACAGCTCTAGGGACCTGTGAAAAACCTCTGTGCCCGTGCGGTCCAGTAGAAACATAATGTGAACCACACAATCATTTGAAATTTCCTACTATACACATTAATTAAAAATAAAAAGAAACAGGTAAAATTAATAATGTATTCTCTTTAGCACATCATATCCCAAATATTATTTCAACATGCAATCAATATAAAAATTAATGATATAGTTTACCCTTTTTTTCATACCAAGTTTTCAAAATCAAGTGTGTATTTTATACTTAGAGCACAACCTCAGTTTGGATCAGCCCCATTACAAGTGCTCAGTGGCCACATGTGGTATTGGTTATTACTGGAAAGCTCATCTCTTTACAGGATAGTGGATGTCTCTGAGGAAAGAGGAAAGCAAAATGGGATATATTCTTAACTTTGTTCTTTATTTTACAGTTATCGACAATATTTGAAGTTGAAAGTTTGTCACACTTGGTGGTACTAATTATTGCAAGCTCTGGGTCAGTTGCATTGTCACTAGCATCAGTACTTTTCTTTCTTTAATCACTTTTTCATCCTTGTAAAATACAACAAAGATTAATAACACAACACTTCAATACAAAGATGACAGTCCTGCAGAAATTGAACACTTGGCTGGTAGGCAATGCCACCCTGTGGTAGCTCACATGTTTATTAATCAATATATGAAAAACCTAATTCTAAGTAGAGAATATGGCTTAGGAGTATTGGTGTATAATACATTAACCTTGAACGCTTCTTATTCTGAATTTCAGGGTATATATGTATATTGGTATGTAGTAAAATAAACTGTCAGGAGACGAGTAGGAATTTATGAGAAGTTGGTAAGAACATCCTTTAAAAGTAATTTTATTTATTTATTTATATTTTTATTTTTAATTTTTAGGGGTTGCAGATGGTGTAGGAGGATGGAGAGACTATGGAGTTGATCCGTCTCAGTTCTCAGGGACTTTAATGAGGACATGTGAACGGTTAGTAAAAGAAGGACGGTTTGTCCCAAGTAATCCCATTGGAATCCTCACCACAAGCTACTGTGAGTTGCTGCAGAATAAAGTACCTTTGCTTGGTAAGTAGATATCTATGTGTTTTCCTCTAAAGATGCCTAGGAGATGGTTAACAACAAAACCAAGAAAATTAACCAGCTTAGCCTTAAGCATAGTTTGATAAGCTATCAAATACTTACTGCTTACTTAAAAAATATTTACTGCTGCTTTTTGAAGGAATACAGATAGGTACAGCCACTGTGGAAAACGATTTGGAATTATAGAATAAAGTTGAACATGAACAGATAGTATGCCCAGCAGTTCCACTTCTAGGTCTGTAGACTAGAGATACTCTTAATGCATCTGTGTATCAAAGAGTAGGTACAAGAATGTTTGTAGCAGCATTGTTTATAATAGCAGAAAACCAGGAACCACCTAGAAGTCCATTTACAGTAGAAAAATGCATTTAGAAAAGGAACAATTTAAAGCTGCATGCAATACTCAGGAATGTGTTGAGGGAAAAGAGGACATTGCAAAATACCACCTAAGAGTCTGATTCTATATTTCATGTTCAGAGAAATAAAAAAAGTAGACCTCTACTGTTTGGGATTCTAAAATATGATAAAAGAAGAGGGAAAAACGTGATTGTATAATTCAGGTTAGTGGTTCATCCAAGGGATGAAGAAAAGGATGAGGTCTGACATGTAAAATTCAGTTGATTACCTGTGGGGAGTTCAGGTTGCAGATAGATATCCCAGACGAATAGCAGTTAGCCGATTAGTTAGTGAAATAGCATGGCACAAAATAGATCCCTGTTAACCTTGTATTAGAAAATGTACAGATACCTAGTGTTTATCTGGTATGCTAATGGCGTATCCTTTGACCAAGCTTCTACATTTGTTTGTTAAATGGATTCCTGGAAACTTACCCAACAACTTACCCAGCCTCTAAGCAGACTTTCAGAAAGGGTGCTACTAAATTTCTGCTAATTACCAGCATTTTTCTGGTTACTAGAAGGCCCTCCCTCCCAGTTACCATCCACATTTAAAATCAGCCTCTGTTCAGTGTTAATGGAGAGCTCCACATTGTAGAATTTTGCCTTCGATTTAAATCCATAAGAAGGGGTTCTTTTCATCATGTTGCTGTCTTCTCTCTTCTCTGTGCTGTGATTAACAAGCTTGTTTTCTTTCAAAAATCTTGCCTTGAGGTTTCAACATACCACTTCATCTTAATCTGCTATTTTGGACATACAGTTTGGAGCTTGCCTGGCACAGTGAAACATCCTAGATTCTATTTCTAGCACCTCTGTCAACTTGCCTTATGGCTTTGGACAAGCCACTTAACCTCTGCCTGCCTTGTTTCATATGTTTAATGGAGAGACCCTGGTTCTTTGTTTTGGTTTTTTGTCTCCTTTTCCGTCCCTCCCTCCCTCCCTTGAAAAGGAACAGACTTAAAGCTTCCTGAGCACTCAGAAATAGGCTCTTAAGGGAAAAGAGGACATTGAAGAATGCCATCTGATAGCCTGTAGACACAGATTCCAGAGGCCTACGTAATTTCTTCTCCTAAAAGACACATTGAAATAATCTTTTATTACCACGTTTGACACATATATACTTCTTTCTTACCTAATCTACCCATCTCTAAGCAATTTGTAACTAAATTTTAGCATATTTTTGTAAAGACTGCTGAGTTTTACCGAACCTCAATATAATTGCAAAAAATGATAATTTACAATATTAGGTAATTTTTTTTTAATCCAGCAATTGCTAAAAGCCTGTAACACTGCCAATATAAAGGGCAAACTGACAGCAGTAACCACTTACTTCTTGAGAGTATCTAGGTGCTTTTAGAACTGGGTTGGCATAACAGGCTAATTGTTGACATATGAAGGGAGACCCAAAAGTATCCTGGAATTTATTTATAAAAAATGGTGTATTTATTCTTACATGTTTAAACTTCAGTTGCCTTAAAAGTATTCTCCATTTGATGCAATACACCTATCAACACTTTTTTCCACTGCTCAGAACAGTTTTTTAACTCATCGATTTTGGTGCCTTTTAGTGTTTGTGCCATTTTTTCTTTCATTTCTACATCAGCAAAATGTTTACCTTTGAGGACTTTTTTTCATGGGGGAAACGACCTCGCTGGTGGCGAGACCTGGTGAATAGAGAGGATGGGGCATAGGGGTCATGCTGTTCTTTGGTCAAAAACTGCTGAACACTCAGCATGGTGTGGCCAGGTGTGCTCATTAAATTACCCCCATGAAATGGGCAAAGCATTGAGAGTCTTCAAAAAAAATTCTCCAAAACCAAACAGACTCTTACAATGACGCCAGCCGGTACACTGATACAGATAGAATCCCAAAACACTCACCTAAGGGGGGAACCCTGTACTACAAGAGGCCAGCCCTCCAGAAGATAATTCGGGGTTTTTGGGGGGCCCCCTTGTATATTTTCTCAGAAACCCTTATGTAGATTTAGGTCTTACGAAACCAGCATATCTTAAGAATTTGAGGGGTTATTCCTCCCTCTGTTTGCTATGCAAAAGGCTTAGTTGTAGTTTATGAGATAAAGAGCTGGGTGATAAAAACATTTCCATGTTAGCGTGAAGGATTTGCTGGGGGGCCTGCATGGATCGGTCAGTCATCTGGATGCTCATTGCTGTGGTGCTCAGCATCTCTTTTCTTCTTTGCCTGCTTGTTCCTCTACAAACACCTAAGAATGATAAGCTCTTCTCCCAGTATTAGGCTGTTAGAGCCTGCACCAATGCACACGTCAGTAATTTGAAGAGGCAGGGGTGTATATACTCCAAGCCCAGATGATTCTGTGAGACTGGACTTGCCTTTGTTGGTACTTCTTTGCCTATTAAAACTCCTTCACTGGTGAGGACCTATTTGGTCATTACTGGGTACGTTACTGACACAAGTGTAGCAAGAAAACGAGGGCCTGGGTTTGTCAGTTAGTAATAATGAATCAACATGAGTCCTTACTGCAGCAAAAATTTCAAGGCTGTGCTACTCATCTGTCATTTTTTTTTGTTCTCAGATTAATTCCATCAGCTTTCAGATCTTTTGTATGATGATTCTATTAATGATAAATGATTGGAGTTTCTCTGCATTGAGTTAGGAAGGAAGGGTATTTGGCAATCTTAGCTCTAAGTAAGCTGTGGAATAGGTTGTCTGACAGCACTGCCAGTTAATTACAGTACCTGTGTTTTTCTCTGACATTTAATGAATAAGGACTAGATAGCTTAACATTAGAGTGTCAGGTTAATACCTGTGCATATACTGTAAAAACAAGGGAATGGAATTTCTGAGCATTACAATGAGGCAAATGCTTAATTTTTTAAAAATTGTTGTATATTTTCATTTAGAAAAAATTAATAGCAAAAATTAAATTAGTGGTCATGCTCCCTGATATTTTTCTCTGTATGTTTGTGCATAGAATAATGGTAATAGGAATTGAATCTACAGTGTGCTCACAACAGCACCATGAGCTAGGTACTACTTTTCATCTTCAAAAGATATTTTGCTTTATCCACCATTATGTTAGAAAGAAACTGAGGCCTCGGCAGAATAAAGGACTTGCCTACTGGCAGTCACACAGCTAGAAAATGAGGGAGCTCTGGGATTTAACACAGCTGGCTCCACACCCTGTTTGTTTCATTTTGCTTATTAACTGTCATCTCAACGGTTTGGCCTTTGCCTACTATTGTTGGGGGGTTTTTTGTTTTCTGTTTGTTTTGTTATTTTACTCTATTATGTACAGTTCTTTAAGTTTGACATCGCTTTTTTAAAAATGAAACTTTATTAGCTTGTAACCTACTTGTTTGACTTGTTATCATCTTTCCTTTTCAAATATATTTCTCTTACAATTTAGTGGCTGTCAAAAACCTAACACTTATGTGTTATAAGTGTTTGACATGACTTAACTAATTTTACCCTCACAAACAATGCTATTAGGTAGTTACTGTTATCCCTATTTTTATAGATGTGGGAACCTCAGGCACTGAGAGGTTAAGTAATTTGCCCCAGGTCACACAGCTAGTAAGTGGCAGAGACAGCATTCAGACACAGCCAGGCTGACTTATTTAAGAGAATACTCTTCAGGTATTATGTGACAGTGTATAGCCTGCCGTTATATAGATGAACTGTAATTTATTCAACCAGTCCCTTAATTTTAGATGTTGAGGTTGCTTTCAATTCTTCCTGACCTTAAACAATGGTTTTGCACTTAAGTCCTATTTGCATCTCTGATTATTTTCTTAGAATAAATTCTCACCAATGAATATGCACATTTTTCAGGGCTATATTGCCTTTTAAAAAGGTTGTTTAGTTTTATTCTTTCACCACTGGAATGAGCGTGACCATGTTCGCTACACTCTTGACAACACCACACATTATTTTCTTTCGATTCTTGTTAAATAGACAAAATGGTTAGTAGTGTGATGATCATTTTTCATATATTTCTTGGTAAACTGCTTATTTTTCTATTTTGCCTTTTCTCTTTAGTTGTAGGTTTAAATTTTAGTGCTTGAAAGTGTTCTTACTAGTTGTACTTATGAACTGCCTTTCACTCTGGGGAAGGTCATGTGAGCTGCGTGCTGTAAATGTGCGCAGAAGCTTTTTGCTCTGCTTAGAATGTGGTCTCTTTCGTCTGAACATTAGTAGTCTCTGGAAAGTGAACAGGTTGATTCTACAACCTACCTGGGAAAATTAGTCTTGTTACTCCATAGCGAGTCAATCCCTAATAAAAGTTCTTCGTGACCTCAACAGATGGAAATCTGGTTTAAAACTGTCGTTATGTGCCCTGTCTTAAATGTTAGTGAATTTTGTGCAGAAGGTTTCCTGCTAGTGACTAATAAGAAATGTCAGGGAAATGTAACATTCTCATTCTGGCATTTAAGTATTAAAGCTTAATATTTCAACAACATGCTTTTGAGCATTTGGCATAGATTAATAGCACTATTGAAATGAAATAGTGTGGTTAAATACCAGCCATTTTTATTGTTTTCGATCTCTGCAAATGGAAGAATTCAGGTCATCAGTGGCTTGCTTACTATGTATCATACAAATCCCTTCTTTCCCACCATTTGGACCCTGATCAGGTTATTGATGACATTTGTTGGCAACATGGAGCATAATTAAGAAGGGTCCTTTTTATAAGCAAAGGAGGTTCGAATTATGACGTTACTCTTGGGGTAATTTGATAAAAATGTGTATACAAAGGCAGCCTGGGAAGAGAAAATCAATGGAGACCATTTTTGTTTGTAGGTAGCAGTACTGCCTGCATCGTGGTGCTGGACAGAACTAGCCATCGCTTACACACGGCAAACCTGGGCGATTCAGGCTTTCTGGTCGTCAGGGGTGGTGAAGTTGTACACCGATCAGATGAGCAGCAGCATTACTTCAACACTCCATTCCAGCTCTCAATCGCACCGCCGGAAGCCGAGGGAGTCGTCTTGAGTGACAGGTAATGGTTCCCTTCACTGTTAAGTGTGAATAGGAGGGTGTGGCTTATCCACTGGTTCCCTCCCATCCCCCTTAATCACAGTGGAGAGAGACAGCTTTCATTCTCATGTGAGAAAAGAAGACACATTGAGAATGTTCTTAATCAGGAGGACCTTTTAGATCGACTTCAAAAGATATTTTGCTTACTCTTGACTAGTGTATCTCAGTGGGTTGAGCATCATCCTGCAAACCGAAAGGTCACAGGTTTGATTCCGTCAGGGCACATGCCTGGATTACAGGCTGGGTCCCTGGTTGGGGGCCCATGAGAGGCAACTAATTCATGTTTGTCTCGTACACATTGATGTTTCTCTCCTTCTCTTTCTCCCTCCCTTTTCCTCTCTCTAAAAATAAAATCTTTTTTAAAAAAACGAAAGATATTTTGCTTAAACTTGATATTGTAGCCAAGTTGAACTCTGATAAACAACCAATAATTTGACAAGACAGTGAACATACTATTTCAAGTTTACAGAATATCAGTTTTTCATACCAAGACCAAGTGGTACATACAGAGTGTTAAATTGTGCTTGAGAAATGAGTCATTGTTTGTGCACGCCATTTGCTTGTGCAAGATTTTGCATACGTTACTAGGGAAGAGTTCAGACAGGCATTTGCTTTATTTATCAGAATTAAACTTATTGATTCTCATGCCTCCTGTTACATATAACAGATAGAACTTGCAGTCCATGGGCCAAGTTAACTTGCGGGAAATGGAATCAAAAGTGGTCTTGGGTGTGTTCTATGATGACCCTGTTGAGGTGGTCTCTTTTTCTTCTGATGCCTTCCCTCAGTTGATTTTTAAATTGTCAAGAGTACTTTTTAAGACCATGGGTACTTTTTTGAATCAACTTTCACAGTTTGTCTTCTCTAAGATCAGAGTACAGAATAAGGCTAAGATAGTCTCAGATTTCATTGCCTATAACAACCTTATAGTACCTAGCACAAATGTTGTGGATTCATAAATGTTGTTAACTGGGTAATAAACCTTTTGGAAAAATGGAAACATTCTAGTAGGTGCCTGTTGTCTCTATTTAATAGTTCTTATAAAGCCAGATCTTAACCCCTAACTGAGATTAAATGGTTACTACCATCTTTTAAACTGGAATGAGTATACCATATAATTAGGTATTCAGTATTGCTCATCTAAAGTCAGTAGTTGACTCCTAGAGAGAGGGAATCATTTTTACTTTCAGATTAAGACAGATTACCATAATTGGAAGAATGTTGGATTATGGGCCCTTCTTCAGTTGGCTGTAATACACATTAATATTAAGTATATTGGACTGGGGAGAATTCAGAACCCCAAGGCCTTGGTGGATATCAAGTTCAGCTAACAGTTTTTGGAGAACAGTGTTTTCATTTTCCTTCATTTGATTCTTCTTCTTGTGGATTCTGAGTGCTAGATCAGCCCTGGCGTATCTCACATGCTGTCTTTGGGAAAATCTGGTTAGGGTAGCATTCAGCCTGGCCTGCCAGCGAGGTGGAGGGTGCTCCCCCTGGAGCCCAGAGACAGCTTGCTAGCATGTGATTTCAGCTCATGTTTCAGTGCAGGCAAAAGTTTCCAGCAGCACAGTATGTTCAATCAAAATGGGCAGAACTGCAGCTGGCAGAACACCAAGCTCATGGATGGGAGTGTTGGGAGAAGAGGACAAACTGTCCAATGGTAGCGAGTCTCTCACAGGCAGAATAGCAGAGGACACTCCTGGGGAAAGAAAAACCTCAGCATAAAATAGAGCTTCAGGGCCAACCTGGTCATTAATCTAAACTTCTAGAGTCTGATTAGCTTCCAAAGACTGAGCAAATGTGAAGTGTCTTGTGCAGTTTCCTTTATTCTGCAGAATAAATCAACCCGGTTTCCACCAATTTTAGTCATTTTTCCCCCTGCTGTATCTTATCTTCTTAGCTCTTAGTCTGTCTTATCTATGAACTATTATTTTAACCTTACAGGTTTTCCTTTAGTAGCTGTTTTTACAAAATATTTGTTGTATACATGTATAGGTTAGTTTGCTCCTTGACAGACCCCATCACAGAACTTTTAGATGTGCTGCTTCTTTCCTCAGTGAGAAGCAGATGAACCAGAAATTTTGTCAGTGCACTTTGTGTAAATCCCCAGCAGGCATGGGTGGGTTGTTAGTTTTTATGTTTTTTGTCGCTTACACAGGTTTGGGGTTTTTCTGTCAAGCTTAGGGTGCTTTGGTTCTGGCCCCTCTCCTCTGGGTCAGTGTATGAATTGTTCCTAGCTCTTGTTCTCAAAGTGCAGGTTAAGGCAGATTGTCAGGTACCTCTCTCACCTTTCCTCACCTTGGAGGCCTGGAAGCGGTGAATCTGGCCTTTGGAAGTGGCTGAGAGGGCCATTAACTCTTTGAATATATTATCTTTTCTGTTCTTCCCACCTGGCTTCCCCCCCGCACCCGCCACCCCCATGCTATGTCTGTGTTCGTAAGGTTTTGTCAGAGGAAAAAAGTCTCCCCATCTTTCTTTTTAAAAGTTTTATACAGAAAGATAAAGTGCAAAATTTTCCTCCTATCCCTGCCCCAGCCACACATCCTTTCCTCAGAGTCAGCCACTGTTACCTGTTTTGCATCTGTGCCTTCCTCTCTGCATGAACAGTATATCACAGTGTTTGTTTTTCTCCCTAGTTTGGAGGGTCAGTTACTTTGTTTCTTTACTCATTTAGTCACTACATAGAGAAGACCTACTGTGGTCCAGGCACCCTAATAAATAAAAAGACATGCATGAGGAGCACTTTGTAAGCCCTGGGAGATAGATACACAGTCCTTACTTACCCTGCCAAAATAAGTTTCTCTTAGTAATATTAACATGGTATTACCAGTAATATACTAGTGATTAATAGTACTGTGGTAGTGCAGGTACTTCCTATGAATGAAAGCTTACAGGATTTGCATGCTTTCCTCCATGGTGCTCAGTCAGTTATTCCACTGTAACACAGCCTCCCAGAGCCAGATTCAAGTCTGCCAGGAAACAATGAGTGGAAAATGAATAAGAGAGGATGGAATGTGTCTCTAAAGAATTAGGAAATAAAGGCTCATTTGCACTAGGGTTTTAGAGGCATGTTAGTATCTGACTCAGAAAAGAACCCTCCTCCTTTTAAACCACATGTGACTAATTACCACACTCTCTTTTACTTGGTAATTTCAGTTAAGCTTTTGAAATATTTATATCAGAGTTTTTGATTAATTTTTTCAAGGTTAGGAATTTCAGAATGACTGGCTTTTATTATTGACTCCTATTATAAGTTAGTTAGTTTTTCTTAAAGCCTCATTACATTGTAACATAGTGCCTGTTGGAAACTTTGAATGGGATCTCTCAAGAGCTCTCTTTAACTGTGCCTGCACTCTGTCCTTGTCACAGCCCGGATGCTGCTGATAGCACGTCTTTTGATGTCCAGTTAGGAGACATCATCCTGACGGCGACAGACGGACTCTTTGACAACATGCCTGACTATATGATCCTGCAGGAGCTGAAAAAGCTAAAGGTAACTAGCTCAGAGGGTGGCCCTTGGAAACAGTAGCCCTCTCTGGGCAGTTGAGTTTTCTTGATTCAATTGTATTATCTCATTTTATAGTTTTAAAAAGGACTATTTTGTAAATATAGGAAAATAATAATAGTTCTAATCTTCCAAGCAGTTGTAAATGGAAATATTCACAAATGGATAACTTGAGGGGAAGAAAAAGGCTTCCTACCCAAGGTTTTATTAGGGTGGTAAAAGCAGGAAAAGTCCAACTAAGAAATTTACTATTTGCATTTGTTATTGTATTTTAATGATATTTAATAGTGTTGGCTCCTGGTCCTTTTCTCCTCTTATTCTCATAACAAACCTAGCAGGTTGTTGAGACCGGGAAAGATAGGCAGCTGTCATACAAAGCCAGCCAAGGCAGCACCGCAGGCAGCGAGGGGCCTTGATGTGACCTGAGCTGTCACCAGCAGCAACACGGTTCAGGCTCGCTCCGTACAGAGAGTGGAAGGAAGTGAAAATCGGTCTTTCCGTGTTCTCGTGGCTTTGTAAAAACAGTAACTCTGGGGAAAGTTAGTCTTTTCTCGTGCTTTTATCACTAACCAGTATAACTCTTGAGTAAGTTTTTAAATGTTTTAAGCAATATTTTTCTTACCTGTAAATTGGGGTACAAAAGGCCCTGTTTTACAGGTCAACTATGGTGAGGAGTAACCAAGACTGTGCATACAAAATCCTCAGTTCCAGGCCTCATCTGTGAGGTTCAGTAAAGACCAGGTACTTACAGGTAGTGGCACTGCACTTTTGTGTGGTGACAGGGTGGTAAGCAGAAGTGACACGTTTCCTGCCCTACTGGAAGAAGGCAGACAGTACAGAGAAAGAAATAGAGATGTATGGGGTGGTGCAAAAGTAGGTTTACAGTACACAAAACTCAGTTTATTCTGAGTCTTGTATTACTATTTGTTAATTATTGTATTTTCCATATGAACAACTGTAAACCTCCTTGTGCCCCTCCCTGTAATGTTGGTGGCAAATAAGAAAAAGCAGGGTGAAAATGATAGAGAGTAAAGAGGGCTGTTATTTTAGAAAGATTGGTCAGGGAAGGCCTCTCAACAAAGTGACACAGAAGCAGAGGCCTATTATTTATACTGGAACCATTCTGAGTCTCAGAATGTTAGAGCTAAAACACACCTCGTTTCCCATCCTGTTTTACTGTGAGGAAGTTGAAGCAGCAAGGGTAAGGGTGTGGCTCAAGATTATACAGCTAGGCAAGCATCTTCCTTCATGATATAAAGCTCTAAGGGTATTTGCATAGGGTGACTGGCAGCTCTCATTTAGAGAGCAAACTGGGGTAGGACAGGAGTGTATTCCTAAGCAAGGAAAATTCTAGGCTCATCCCTAAAGTGCTGTCAAAATTTGCTCTTTCAATCTCATCCCATTTTAGCAAAAATACCTTAAGAATTTCAAATGCGAAAAAACCCCACAGAATTCAAAATCCAAACTTCAGAGCCTCAGGCCACCTTGTAAAACCTGATTCACATTGTGTGCGGGCAGCACCAGGTCTCATTCAGTTTAGTTAGGGTGTAACATTTTAATGTCTCTGGCATAAAATGTAAAATGGTGGAAACTGTGATTAGATAAATGTTACTGTTTTAAAAAGTGATATTTTTAAGTTTACTTGAATACAGAAGTCATGTGAGGTATTATGGTAAAAATAACTCCCTCATCCTTCATCTTAGAATTCAAATTATGAGAGTATACAACAAACAGCAAGAAGCATTGCTGAGCAAGCTCATGAGCTGGCCTATGACCCAAATTATATGTCACCTTTCGCACAGTTTGCATGTGACAACGGACTGAATGTGAGAGGTAAGCATTCTTTAGGAAGGTCATAGGGACTAATTGGGAACATAGTAAGATGGGAATGTTCGGGGCTGTGGAGCGAGGTAAACTCGAGCACTGGGGTAAGACTGTCGGGGGGTGTTCTCCCAGCTGTGAGCCAGTGGCTTTGAGCAGGGTCATCAGGCCTCACCACTGGAAGACAAGAGCAAGTGCGTGTCATCATGTCTTCCCCGCAGAGGATGCCCTTCAGGACTGCACTTCAGAGGCGCACAGGCAGGCGGAACCTGAAGCCCTGTGCTGCCACCACCGCCCTGCCTGGCCTGAGCCCAAAAGGCCTCCACACTCTGCCTGGAGGGACTGGACATTCCCAGCAGTTGAACATTCTGCCCTTCACGGGTCTGACATTTCACTTCTCCCTTCCTCTGGCTTTGTGGGACTCATGGACAGTATTTGCCTGTCAATTGCCACAGCAGGTTTTGAGGAGGGAAGCAATGTTAAACTGTCCTTGCTTGAAGAATCCTACCTACTGAGCGATATGTAACTTTGGGAGCAGGCCAGCAGGCCAGTAGCTCCGTCTTAGAGGGCTGACATTGGAGGTATCATATCAGAACTCGTAGAGTTGGTCTGTTTCTTGCTGATGTAGTATTATGACATGTAAAGCATTTCTTAGCCCTCCAGGAAATAGAAAATAGAAAAAAGCACATGCCATAGCAGTTTGGCAGATTAGAATACAAGACTGTTCCTGATTTCAAAACAGTGGGTGGGTATGTTTGTCCAAATTAGGATTGTAGGTAGAAGCATGTAACTTCTCGTCAGGCAGAATTTATCTTAACCAGATTTTGTCTTTATCGTGATTGTTATAAACAGAAGATGGGGGTCCATTTTAACAGAGCTCCTGCTTTATTTAAAGAGGAGGGATTTTTTTTTTCTTTCACGCTTTAATTAAATTGCATGTAATCTCTTGGTGTTTTTGTTTATCTCTCTTTATCAGATATTTTTTTCTTTTCTCTACTAGAGTATATTGATAGACCAAACCTGCCTGAATTGCGGGCATTTGTCTCCGAGAACTTATTTAGGCTTACAATTTTGATTGACTTTTCCTTATAAGTTACATGAATACATTTTCGTTTTCATTTTAGGTGGAAAGCCAGATGACATCACCGTCCTTCTTTCAATAGTGGCTGAGTATACAGACTGACTCACCTAGATGTCAACCCCTGCCCTCCTTTCATTACCCCAAGTTCTCCCCAGCCGCGTGTGCGGATCCTGCTGGCAGGACCACGTTCCTTTGCCGCTGATCTCAATGGCCAGTGACGTAAGCCTCTGCCTGTCGTTTTGAGACCCGTTGAGATCTTTATTGAGAACCACTACTGTCATTCACTAGCTCACATCTGCCAGCAACTTGGAAGAGAATCAAGATTTGAAGATTGACCTTCACATCTCATTGTCCTTCCCATGATGGGATGGAGGTTTCCAAAGCCAAAATGGCTATTACTTTTCAAAAATGCTTGAAGTATTGAAGAAAATGAGTAATGTTGGTAAGGTGAATTCAAAATTAGAGCGTGTAAAAGGGATTTTAAAAGTCTAACAAATTCTATGTTATGGTACATCTACTAGAAACACATTATTCATCAAAAGAAATGTTACACGTGTACTATACAGTCTTTGTTATGATTGGGTGTGACTTTGTCTTTTCATTATAAACTCCTTTATTTCAGGGGCTTATAATTCTGGTCTAAAATATTGCTCTGGATTATGAAATCCTGATCCCAGGAGTTGTTGTTTTTGTTTTTGTTTTGTTAGAAATTGGAAGGAAAATTCAGTTTAATTCTATGGATGCATATGTTTCATGGTTTTTAAAAGATGCTTAATTGTAATCCTGTGATCAACGTTTTGGCAGTTTATTGATTAGTCCAAATCACAGGCTGATGGCCTGATCTGCAGGAGGGGCGGGGGAAACTCTTTACCAAAATTTTTTAGTGGGACTATTACTCAAGATTTTAAACTCCTCAAAGCTGAGAAACTTAATGCTATGGCTGAAACTCCTCCCAGCTGTCTGATATGATGCCCCTTTGTGGGAGCTGTAGGCCCGTAGGGCTCATGGGTTGAAAATGGACAGCTGTTACATTGAGTTTTGGGGCTTTTGATGGTCATGCTACTCCTAGTTTCACTCAGACCTTCCATTAGTAGCCTTGCTTTCCGTAGACGAGCATGCACCAAGTTCAGGGAGTCCAAGTGGGAAGAGCACCGTGGGCAGTGGCAGCAGCACACGCGTCCACAGCAAAACTAGTGATGATCTGACATTTGCATTTGCCCTACACAGAAAGTTAGGGGTTTCTGAATCAAGCTTAATGTTTACAGTTTCCGAATAGCCATCTTGCAGTGTATAATTTCCTTATAAAAGTATCCCGCATTCAGTTTTCTCATCTGCAAACTCAAACTTATTTTTAAGGTTTATGTACAAGTCAACTGCTGTAAAGATATATTTTGGGGTCAGTTTTCTTTCCTTCATTAACTTGGTGGTAGAAAAATATATATACTTAGCAATCCTTAAATTAAAGCCATGTTTTATATATAAGTCAGGTAACATTGGTGTATAGATGAGAATGCAATTAAACCTGATGAGAATCTACTTGCGGAGAATATAGAAAGTTTCTCTAAAGGAGATACTTACTCCCTGGTTTATTGCATTAAAACTTATGTTTGAGGTTACCTCAACTTGTTTTAAAGATTTTGTTTTGTGAATTTGTACTGTATATTTGAGTAACTGTCAAGCTTTTGTTTTATTTAAAATTGTTTAACATGTACCATGTACATGTCATTACTATATTTCAATGCATCATGCTTGTAACAGGCATTTCATTTATAATAAGAATGAGTTATTCATTTGTAAGCCGTTCAGTAATTTATCTACTATTCCTAAATTGGCATAATGTTAGATAGCTGTTTTGAATCACCTTTAATTACATGTCAGAATGCCTTAACTACCCTAACTTGACAAAATAATTCTTTGGTAGAGGAGATGGCGGGGTGGAGGGAGACTGTTTAAATAACAAGAGCCCATTGTGCTGTGATAAAACAGGGAAGCCAGAGTGGCAAGTGGCGGGGTATTTATTTTGCACAAACTATTTGCAGTCTCTGTATTTAAAAAGTGAAGAAAGTTGCATCCAGAAGGGTTTTGTTGGAAGGAGTACATTTATACTTGGGATGACGACATTAGTTCTTTTATTGGGTTTTTAATTATTTCTGGTCAGAGGTATGTAGCCTATGATCTGGATATATTTTGCATTAATTTTGCAATGCCTACATTTGATTCCTGGTAGAGCTGGTTAAGTCACTGGCTTTTCTCTGCTCTCATTTAACCCATTGGACACAATCTTTGTAAAGCTAGATTGGTGGTGTTTTAACACAACTCATTTAATCAGCTTACCTTTTTGAGAAATGATTGTAAGAAATCGACAGTATGTTTGTTCCAGTGACGTTGAAATTAGCGGGACAAGAATTGAGTTTCACAGTGGAACTGACTTTGGACCTGGCCTGTAGATTTGTACACAAAACAGTTTCTCTTTTCCCTGTCCTTTTTGTGTTATGCACTTATTTTATGACTGCCAGTGGTCAGTGGAGTGCTGCTTATCGAGTAACTCTCCTTCCACTCTCAGTGGTCAGAGGCTGTGTGGAACCCAGGCTGGAATTTTCCAGATCACAGGACCCAAGTCTCTGAAGGGTGTGACTGAGATATGCCACTTGGTGTGTCTGATTCTGAACTTCATGTGTGTGTTAATTGTATTTTAAATCAAGCAGTATAAAACAACAACACATGCACATTTGCCTCATGTAATGGACTTTTATAACAAAAGAGAATTTGGATTTCTAATTTACAAATGGCAAATTATTTATCCCTCTCTGGATGCACCAAAGACCAGTAAAGTTTATAGCTTTTCCATCTATATTTATAAAGCAATACTGTATTATAAAAAAAAAAAATATTTTTATCACATGCTTGAAATTTTTATTTTGTTCTGTTTTAAAATGTGCACTCTAAACATATCAGAACCTTATTTCTTCCTGTGAACTTAAGCTGCCTGCGCACAAAAATAAATTACCCAACAGATATGCAGTAGAGTCTATAGGCTCTTAAAAACAGAAAGAAGAAATGAGGGGGGCGGGGACAAGTTATTTGTCCTGAATTACTGTACTGGCTTGACATGGTTGATGGGTACTACATCACAAAAGAATCCATTCCAGGTGTGCAGTTCTGGGGGTTGGGCTGTGTCTCTAGATTAGCAACTAGATTTCAAGCTTTGTGTGATGGGAGTGTCTCTCCTATCAGCTACATTTGTTCTGGATAGAGAGCAGTAGCCTTCAGTACCACCTTCAGTACCACCAACCTACCACATCAAGTATCAAGGCAGGAATTGTGGGAATTTACTGAGTCAGTGTTGAGCATTTTGGAGATTGTAAACAAGATTGGCTAGAACGGTAAATATTTGTACTTTGGAATAAGTTCTTGGTTCCTTGTCACCTTAAACCAGCTATCTTTGGTAGAAGCTACAGCATCCAGTTTACCTGGAAACGATCACATTTTAGCATTTAACAAATTTTACGAGATCAAAAAAAAGAAAACCAAAACTTGCTTATAAAACTGAAAATATGAAGCAAAAAACATTTGGGTTTTATTCATAAAAAATTAAATTCTTTGTAAAATTGAACTTCTCAACTAAGAATTGACAGTGTCCACGTCAAAATTTTAACTGTTAGCAGGTAGTTTGTGGCAAAGATGGCTAAATAATGAAGCAGATTTGAATTTGTGTATACTAATGAGCTGCTTATTTTCTGTTTTGAGACTATCATTATTTGTCTTACCCAAGAGGCAATGACCTGAATTGGATGTCTGAAATATAACTTATGCAGGAATAGTTCTGTAAATACATTTAAATAAACTGTAAAGATATTTAATAAATATAGTATTTATACTAATCCGTGTACTCCTTTTAATTTGAATAGTAACTAAATAAGACACCAATCCTTGATATTGTTTGTTGGTCTATATCAAGTCCATATTTCCAAGCCTCTTAGTTGACTAGTCTAGCAGTGACTCCATACTTTACAGCTATTAGTTTGTCTTTTACTAGTTTATCCGCCTTAGCTCTTTTCACCAGCTGGTTTACTACATCAGTTTAGCTTCCTCAAAAATTCATCAAAATGGACTGATACTTGAATGTAAAATACACATGATTTCCTAGCTGAGAAAGCTTTTGCATCTTCCACATGGTATGCAGTGAAGCACAGAAAAACCTGGTGTCATTTAAATTTAGCACTCTGTACCCAAATTCTAAACCAAATTAAATACAATTTAATTAACAGTGTAACTATCTTTTACAGATTAGCTGTATCCAGGCAGTTACTGATGATACCTCCAGACCTAAACCCCCGCCCCCTTTCCATGGGTGAACCAGAAACTTTCCTCCTCAGCAAGGAGACTACAGTTACTCCTGTATAGAAATGGTCTCTGGGTAGTCATCTGCATCTGATAGTGAAATGTGAAATTCAGTGTTAATCATCAGTGTAAGCGTAAGATACATAAATCTTTAGCCTACGTCTGAAAGGACCTCTTGAAATTATGTGGGCATTGCCAGTTTCCACAAAAAGCTTGGCGAAAGCCCATTTTCATTCACTGAGGAACATTTTGGGATGAACTTGAGTTTTTATTAGGTTATTGTGGGTAGCTCTGACTCATTACTGAGCTACAAAAGCCAAATTCATTCTGGTTTTAGAAGTCCGTTCACAATTCTGAAGTTTACCAATCCATTCAGCCACCTTTGTTTATGAATTCTACACAAAATCTAAAGTACAGTTGCTTGCCAATTAACATTTCCTTGGGATCTGATGGCTTCACAAAGACTTAAACAATAAGATGTTACAGAAGTCTAGTTTGTCAGGTTATAATTGACTAACAGGTTTTGGAGGAGAGAGAGGCCTGCGGCATTAGACATTACATAACACTGTTTTTGTGCCAGATATTTTAGTCTGCAGGTAACAAGCTAATTCTTAAAGAGGCAAAGGACAGAGGGGCTCACCTTCCACCTCCTTCCCCTGCAAACCCAGGCTGCCCCGACAGCGGAGGTTGGTGCGCCGTGCCAGATCACACAGAAACACTGTGTTGGCATCACTTCCACAATTCTTTTTTGTACCACACTGTAGAAAATCAGGATAATTTAAGACTATCAAATAAAATACAATATATAAAAAGACTCCAAAGTGAGGGGGGTAGCTATGTATTTTTATTCTTGACCTTTTTTCCCCAGGGGTTAATTTTACTTAAGATTTTAACAAAACAAAAAGCAATGGACAGAAGGGTCATGATATTACAGAAGAAAAGATTGCATAACTTTTACTGTGTCTGAAAGCACCAAAACTCCAATGTTTGCAATCAGATACAAAGATACCCGACTACTAGTCACAAAACTCTACAAGCAGTATTGATGCACTCCAAAAGGCTGCTGAAGAAAGTTTGAATTCCTTTATGAAACTGGGAAAGAAAATGATAAAACCTCTAGTGCGAACATGCATTGAACTGAAGAATTGTAATGAGTTTTCCCTGCACAGAAAACTCATCTGCCTCCTAAGTAGCATAATGGATTTAAAGCAAATTATATACACTTGACAAGCAGCTATTCCTAGGTATGGTGGTTGTACAAGATAATGTTTAGAAAAGCAGAAGCCCATCCTAAGTAGTGCCAGGACAGTATCTTTGTAGACTTACTTGTGAAAACTGGATTTCAGGTGTGAGTCACTACAGTGGGCTGGTGGGGGGGCGTGACCCAGCTGTCATTAAGTGTTAGAATATGGAAAAACTGCCATTATTCATGTCCTCTTCGCTGTCACTTGCTGTTGCCAGACTGTCGAAAGGGTTGTCGCAGTGTTCTTGCAAGTCGGAAGAAACTGCTCCAAAGAACATGCAAGAAAACTGGAGGGAAAAAAGTAATGGTATTGTTTATTCAAAGTAAAAGTCATTAAATGATCCAGCGAACAGCCTCTTTTCAGAAACCTGGCCAGTGTGGCCTCCCTAACTTTGACGGTGATGGTTCATGAGCACCCAGGGCCTTCATGACTGGACCAACACATTCTCTAAAACAAAACCCTTTCCCAAAGGCCTGCAGTTCGGGATCAGTAATCTGCTTCTGACTCCCCTGCCCAAGCCATTTAACACCGGGGCTGTGGGAGACAAGAGACAAAGGCAGATCCTGCAAGCCACTCTGCTCCACTCCCAGTGTCCCCTCTCCCCTCTCCAGCGACAGAAGCTGACCCTCCCAGCTAAAGCCTGTCTTTTCCCTTCAGCCTCAGAGCCCCTCCTCTGCCTCCCCTCTACTGGATAGGAATATCAATGCTTTACAATAACGTTATTGTTATTGTTATTGTCTCATCTTTAAAATACCTGAAAAGCCCCACCCAATTCCTCCCTCCCCGCCCCTCCTCTGCTGCAGAGTTGTCTCCACTTGCTATCTCCATTTTCTCAGGCTCCTGCTCAGTCCTAACAAACCTGACCCACCCCTCCCCAGAAACTTCCTGCTGTGGTCACCAAAATCACCACATCCTTAAGCTAATGACCATTTTCAGTCTTCTTCCCCCTTGATACTGTCTCCTCGCACCTTCCTCGTGCCACACTCTCCTGGTCGCCCTTGGACTTCTCGGCTGGCTCGCCCTCTTCTACACAGGCTTTTCACACAGTCGGCGTTTTGCAACCTCAGCACTACTGACTTTTGGCGCCTGACAATTCTTTGTTGTGGGGACTCAGCGTTGGGGGATTTGAGCAGCATCCCTGGCCTCTACCCACTAGATGTGAGTAGCATCCTCGATACCTTATTTCCACTTAACCCTCATAACCAATCCATCACCAAGTCGTTCTGCTTTTACCTCTTCAATTAGCTGTCAGCTTTGGCCACTTCTCTCCATCTCTAAGGAATCACTATCTCATCTGTTGGATAATAAAACTGAGCTTCCATTCTTGCCTCACTGTACCCCATTTATACAGTAGTTGCAGCTAAAGTTATCTTTTAAAAAATCAACTGTCAGCCCTTGAATACTTTAAATGCCACGAGACTTACTATGGCTGCTTACAGGGCCTAGAGGACGCCTCTGGCATGATCTGGCTCTCATCGGTGCTCCAGCTTCACCCTGTGCTGTTGTTTCCCCCTGGCTACCTGCCCCCTAACCGCCCTGGCCTGCCTTCCGTTCCTTAAAACCACCACGCTCCCTCCATCACAGGGCCTCTGCGTGGGCCGTATCCACCCCCCTGCCCCCATATCCAATTTTACTCTCCTAAAAAGTCTTTTGTATAGCTTAATACAGTGGCTTTTAGAAATAATATTTCTCCTTCCAAATTTCTAACTCTAAGAAACTCGTATTTCCAAATCAGTAATAACAGTAATATATAGCAAAACAGGCTTGAATGGAACATTGGTGATTAATGTAATGTAAACATAAAATTGGGACTATCATTGTCTGAGATGCTTCTGTTCCTAATAGTGTTTATCTTCAATAGATTTCATAAGGTTTAATGTTAGCACTTTGTGAAGCTTATCATCAATCTAGTAAAATGCTGGTGTTTTGATATGTTATTAGCTGTGACTCCACCATGAAGGAATTTGTGATGTTTGGGGAATAAAATACGTATTGTACCACTATGAATAAAGGATTTTCTAAAGAGATTTGAAAAATAAAATTAGAAGAACATTTATTTTAGAAAACAAATTATACGACACATAAGGATTTAAATACACCTTATGTGTATTTAAATATAAGTATGCACCCTGGCTGGTGTGGCTCAGAGGATCGAACACCGGCCTGTGAACCAAGAGGTCGCCAGTTTGATTCCCAGTCAGGGTACATGTGTGGGTTGTGGGTGAGGTCCCCATCTGGGGGCGTGCAAAAGATAACTGATCAGTGTATCCCTCACACACTCATGTTTCTCTTCCTCTGTTTCTCCCTCCCATCCCCTCTCTCTACAAGTAAATAAGTAAAATCAGAAATATATAAGGTAACAAAAAAATATAAGTATGCTATAAGCAATCATAATTTATTCTTTGAAACAAGTGATTTCAAACTCTACTTGAATATACTTTGTTAGAAATTACTCAGGTAAAGAGACGAAGCAAAAAACAAAAGTAGGAAAAAAATTACTCAATGAGCAATTTAACTATTTTGTATTAACATTCTGTAAATCAGTCTTTTCTCCATCTCAGACTGGCTTTACCTCTCCAACTGCCACAAAGTAAGAAAATTAATTTTCAGGGTATTGCGGGTGGGCTGGGGCAGGGAGATTGCAAAAGACGCCCCCTGATGAGAATTCCTGACTGAGACATGGGAGTGTCTCAACGTCTTCCTCTCACCTTCCTGAGACGTGGGGACCCCGGCTCTTCCTCCACGTGGCTGACTCTGCGCTCTGGTCCTTCGCTGACGTCCCCATTGGCTCTTTTCACTAGAGGACTGCCACGGTTTCCCGGCGCAGAGGTATTTCTGAGAGTCTCATCAGAGTGGAGCCTTTTGGGTGCTGCCTCTCTCGAGATGGGCTCCACGGCCTTGCTATCTTTTTTACCAGCCTTTGGATTTGAACATACCAGATCTGACCTGGGGTAATAATCAGGATTAAGTGAATGAACTGTTTACTTTGAAATATACATTTTTATATCACTAATAGAGCAATATGGTATGTCAACGATAACACTGGTTTAGAGCATATACCAAAATAATATGGAACTAATTGTTTTGAATGTTAAGATTCACATATATGATTATTTAGAAATTCTCTCTACAGATTGGAGTTTTTCAGTAAACAACTTAGTGTGCATGAGACAGTCTTGTGATATGGTAACAGGGACAAGTTAGGATAAAAGTCAAATAAATTACTATACATATATATGACAAAATTTTATATAGTCATTAAAAATCACATTTTCAAGTCATAATCAGTGGAACATG